CCTGCAGACCTGCAGGGCCCCCACAGGACATGGCTCTCTGTGGGGCCTGTGTAGCCCCCCAACCCCGAAACACCCACGAGGAGAGATCAGAGCCGTGGAGACCTGTGAGGAGCTTCCCAGCCCAGGGCCAGGCCAAGCACCAAACACTCCTTGTCTGCTAGTGGGCAGCGAGGGGATGGCGACTGTCTCAGCTCCTCTGAAGACCCCCAGAGGCAGGCTGGAGGAGATTCCCACAGAGGCCCAGGGAGGGGTGGCTTCAGGGCAGGGGCCCCAGGGCCAAGTCTGCACGGGGGAGAACCAACTGCCCGCCCGCCCGCCCGCCTGCCTGGACTTAGCTGCAGGCTGCATACCTGCTCCCACGCCGCCTGCCAAGAGAGTCACACATGTGCATCCACTTCTCCTTGTAGCTATGGCAATCAAAACAGGCAAAAGCAACACTTTTTTGCACTATATCTCATGTTGGACACTGATATTTTCTCCAGCTGGGTTTTTCTTAATTTAAGTCAACAAATCAATCTGGAGGCCCACATATGCTAGCGTGTCGGATCCAGGAGAAATGACGCGGAGCAGAGGGGCTCCGGTGTGGGAGGTGTGGTGTCATATGGGGGCCGCTGCCAGCTCCACCCAGACCCGGGGGGAGAGGAGACAGACTCTGCAGCCCTCACTCCTCCTAGGACCTTCTCTGGAAGCCACAGAGACCATGCTCAGACACTCTCCGTGGGACCAATTCGGAGCTGGCACAATCACCCCAGCCTCCTCTTGGTTACCCTCATGCTGTGTTCTCCCCTATGCATCAAGATTTGGGGACCCCGTCCTGCACCCTCAGGGCACGGAGGTCTACAAAGCAGGCCTCACTTACCTCATCCCCCACCCAGCGTGGGACTTCCGACACTCAGCAAATRGAAGCCTGAAAGTACATTCTTCACAGGGGTTTGGCTTTGTTTTCAGAAGGGCTCCCAACAACCCTGATGCCACACTGTACAGAATCCATCTTAATTACCAACCATGTGGAATTTTTCCTTGTGGCTTTTTTTCAATGAAAAAAACATTAATGAGAAACTTTAAAGGCTTGTTAGCAGTGTCCTTTCATCAATCAGAGGTGCTGTCAGGCCGGGCTCTGCTGTCAATTTGCACCTCTGCCCAGCGTCCACTTCCTACCTTCTCATCCACCTCGGCCCCACCCCCACCGCAGACCCTTGTCGGGGCCGCCCTGGGTGATGGAGGCCAGACCTTCTCCATCTGTCAGCAGCTGGAGCCGCAGGGTCCCGAGGACTCTGGACGGCCGCCCTTGGTCACCTGGAGACACATCAGGACCTGCAGTTTCTCTGGCCCTGGCTTCCGAACGAGGGCCACCACCCCCTGGCTTCACATAGACAGGGCGACGCTGTTGGCGGGGGCCTTCTGCAGAGTCCTGTTTCAGTCTGTGCTTTTCGAACTGATAAGTAAAACTGACGTGAACTTCAGCTTCTTGAACGCGAACTTTTAATCAAACCCCGGTGAAGGAGAAAGAAAATCCCAGATGGCCTGAGGGAGGCCAACCAAATATAAAACCCCTGCCTGAGGGCCCCAGCCACCCTCTGCAACCCCACTGCCTCAGAGCARCCAGAAAGGATGCAAACAAGACAGGCGGAGGGAGGCCCGGAAGCAGAGACTGAAGGCTCAGTCCCCGACTGGACCTCTCGGGGAGCCCACAGAGGAAAACCGCCCCCTGGAGTCCCACATTAAGCCAATTTGTCTGTCACTCCGGAGTCCTCCCCCATGCTGTCTGAAACCCAAACAGCAGCGGGATCTCAGGAAGCTCCGGGGGGAAGTGAATGATTTTCACATTGATTCAGCTGTGACTTCCTGCACGTCCCGATGGAGGTGAGGTCCAAGCTGGCACTGCCACCATGGTCACAGTTACGACAGACAAGGTGGGTAAGACGGGAGGCAGGGAGGCAGGCGCGGCTGACAGCGCTGTCGGGTCCTCGCAGACCAGATCTTGGGTCACCACGGAGCTTGCAGAAGTTCACCTCGTTGCAAGGACCTCCCCMGGCAGCCTGCCCAGGTCGTCCACACCTCCCAGGGTTCCCACCTCTCACAGGCCACCAGGGACTCCCAACAGTGTGTGGGCTTTGATCTCGGTCTGCACTTTCACAGGAAGTGAGCTCTGGGATGACACTGGTGCTCACAAACCATTGAGGAAACACAGCCAGATGTTCTCAAGTGAACATACCCACACTGGACATTCTTTAGGCYCCTTGAGCCACAGGATTCAGGGTGACCTGGCAGGAGTGAGCAGCAGCAAGGAGAGAGATGTGTCCTGGAAGACACGAGARTCACCTACATGATCTGGATCTCCGGCACACAGCTGAGCTGCCAGGGTCGTTCAGGAAGCCGTCTCTGCCAGGCAAGGAGCGTTGGGAGTTAAAAGTACCGTTCAGTTACCGACAGGGCCAGCCTGCCACTCCCCYCCAACGCCTGCTGCCCACCCCTCGCTTCTAGAACTGCAAAATCACAGCCCCCGTCACAACCCCTCTTGCAAGAATCCTTCAGATTTCCTTGCACAATTAGTTTGCTGTCTTCGGGTGTGAGGAAGTCAGACTTACGCTGTCACTTCATGACATTCCTCAGGATGTGGTGAAGTGGGTGATGCCTGTGTGACATTTGTGTCCCTGAYGGGAGACGGGATAAAAGCTCTCACACTTGCAAACGTGGCCCCAGGAGCAAGGCGTGCCCAGTCTTGCCCCCGGCCCCCAGGGGCGTGTGAGGCAGCACAGCCAGCCACACCAGGATCTCCGTGTCAGCTTTCAAAGCCCCACAGTGCTGGCCGGGGAGGCCTGGCAGGTGAGGGGACCTGGGGCGGAGGCCAAAGAACACAGCTTTCTTGTTTCAACATTTCTTTTTATTTGGAAAATATTTTGTATTTCTTTGTGCCTTTCCTTTTCCTCTTTATTTGCACAAGCTGCGCTGTGACCTTGAGCCGAGCGGCTCTAGGCAGCCCGTGCCAGCGTTTCATGTCGGCCTCCGCAGAGCTTGCCCTTGCAGCAGTACATGGCCACGCGGTGCGAGTCCCGCTGCTCTGTCAACGGCCACCTCAGGGCATCTGTGGAGCCTGATACGACAGTGCCGAGGAGACCCTAGGAGACAGAACAGACGTGGCTTCTGCACTGCTCCAGGGCGTGGCCCAAGCAGGCGTGGCCCAAACAGGCCTGTCTGCAGGTCCAGGTTGCCTGAAGCCGCCAGGTCCCCTTGGTGGTGCCGACAGGCTGGGGGCTCAGCCCTTGCTGGTCACACCGCCCCCAGCTCCTCTCAGAACCTGGCCCCTCATGGAAATATGGAGGTTACATGGGAGGTGTGTAGGGCACTCGGGGGCTCCCAGCCCAGGAGGACTCCTTCAGGGCCATCTTGGGCCAGCCTGTTCAAGCTCACAGACAGCAGCAAGGCTGGGGTCTCCCACAGCACTCTGCAGCCACAGCGCCCTCTGTTGGAACGCAAGCACACAGGATGCACTGAGGCCATCGACCTGGAGCTGCATTTGGGAGCTAGGACCCTTCTCTACTCAGGCAGAGGACAAAGGCAGCAATTCCTGGTGACTCTAGGGCAATGGGAGCCAGGTGCGCAGCACAACTGAGCTTCGGAGCCCAATGCAGAGGGCACCTGGCCCTCCCCCACATGTCTTCCCAGACTCATAATATAGACACAGACCCCTTTGCCTTCACAGTGACACCAGGTCAGAGGAGGAGCCAGAACACACTGGAGGCCAGACAGGACGTGCTCCTGTGTGTGCAGCTCAGGGTGCTGCCAGGGCTCTGTCCTGAGAAACCAGGTGTCTCAGACCCATCCTCAGATGGTGGCTGGCCTCACTCCAGAGCGACGAGGACGACCAAGCTAGGGACAACGGTTCTGGTCATGCCATTTCACTGTGTTTGAGGAAACACATCCAGAGTCCATTTGGCTAATATAAGACAAAGATAAAATAAACGGTGGATTGGGGAGAAAGGGCCAGAGTTTGTATTCCTTGGTGGTTAGGTAACATGCTGTGCACATCAGGGGGCTGTGTGTCCTTCTCAGGTGGCACATGAAAACCACTCGAGCTTTCCTGCTGGGTCCACACTGTCACAGAGCCTGTGATAAACACAGTGTCCCCTGGACGGCCGGCTGCATCTTCCTTGCTCCACACCCTGAGCTACCGGCCTCCCTCCGTGTTTCAGGCAGACTTGGTTTTAGAGCTAAAAGAATGACATGATCAAATGTCAGATGGAGCCAATGGAAGGCCTGGAATCAGTCACCACTGCTGCTGTTGGTGTGAGCTGACCACCACTGTGTGAACTTGGACTTCCAGGCTCAGCTCTGGGGCCTACAGAAGCCTGTTCCCTACCGACATGCTGCCCAGAGAAAGGAAGAGCGCCTGGGATCTGGCTGGGGGAAAGCCTGCTCTCCCAGGAAGGTGTTRGCCCAGCCAAACCCCGTCCCAGGAGCGGTGCTTCCGATCTGCTTTGGAGCAAGGTTATTTTCTAGGGTGCAGAAGGCATGCAGACCTGCCCCACACCTTCCCCAGTCGGGAAGGCAAGTTAGAAAGCCTCTACAGAGTACCAGCCTCTCTGGCCTGGCCTCTCCTTCAGGGAGACTCATGTGAATGCTAGGAAACACACGGGCATCACCTCAGTGGGGCAAATGCCCAGGAAGGACAGGGGAGACTGCTGGGTGGAGCCCACCATTCAGGGTGGACAGCCCGAGTGGGGTCCTGGGGCAGCCAGCTGTTGCCTGTGGGTGCCAGATGCTTCTGCCTTCCTGGGCAGGGCCTCTCAGGCTCGCCAGGCCTTCCCCACTCTCCTGTTCCCATTTTAACAGGCATTAAAAATGGAACAATGCCTGCGTTAGACAGGAGATCCTACGACACACGGGCCGGCCGGCCGGCCGTCTGAACTCATTCTGCTGTAAAGTGTGGAAACAAGAAAGGGCAGACGCGCCACGTCCCCCGGGACACATCCAGCTCTTTTAATACAGTGGTGCCACAYGCATCCTGCTTCGGGTGCACCATTACATTTATGTGTCACTCAAATGTTCACTTCAAATACACACACTCAGTTTCGGTCAGCACCCTGGGAGCCAGTGGTGCCACCAGCTGCCTCGAGCCAGGTCCTGCCTTGACTCAACACCCCGCCATCTGGCTTCCCTGCCTGGGCAGCCTCGTGGGCCAGCAGCCACTCCTTCACGGATCGTCCTCCTGTGTAGTTGCCCAGGGCTCCACCGCTGCAGACCACTCTGTGACATGGGACGAGGATGGGGACCTGGAAAACAGAAGGCACCACCATCGATCTGGCTGCAACCACGAAGGGTCCAGCACTCACCAAGCAAGATTTGGCTGGCTGCTGGCTGCACCCCTGCCCTGTACCCCAGTCAAGCCGMGTATCACTGGGTGCAGTGAGCAGTATATGATGTGGGGCTGCTTTCTCACAGCCCCAAGACTCAGGAGGAGAACACATCACCGGGGGAGAGTTTTAGCAGTTAAAATTCCATTTCCAAGGTCTGGGGAGATGGAACCTCGTGACATTTGTGAGCTCTAACAGGAAGTTTCAGGGAGGATGGTCTTGACTGGCCATGTTCAGTCCAGGATGGTGATGCCACCCACTCCTGGTCTAGTAAATAAAATTTTATTGGCACCCAGCCACCCCTTTGGTCCCATGTCATCTGTGACTGCTTTGCCAGGCTAAAATATCCAATGTGGCTCTTTTTAGGCAGAGCTGGCCAAGGTCCACACATGTCCATGTGCTGGGACATGTTACCCTCCTTTGCCCTGTGGGCACCCAGAGGAGCCTGAGAGGGGCCAGTTGCCATTTTAGTGCCAGCCCATAGGCAGCAGGGCATGGCCAGCTGGTCTCTCAGTCCCAGCAAGGTGCCTAGACCCAGTGCTGTGGCCTCTCACAAAGATAGTTTGGGGAGACAGGGCTGCTTAGCTCTTTAGCCTGAGAGGAAAACTGAGTCCTTACATTCTCATCTCACACCAGCATAGTGCCATCAAAGGCACCTGCCAGGGAGAATAAGCCATGACACTCAGATGTCTCTGCAGGTGACCGAGGCAGCGATGCTGATATAGTGCAAGTGTGTGCGTCTGCTCACAGGCTTGGGTCTGTGTGCTCTGAGCCACGTGCCCGAGATCACCAGCAGTGAGAGAGGACACCACACGGGTCCCAGAGGTAGGGCAGGCAGGAAAACCCCAGAGTGCCCTACKTGTCTCAGACGGCTCCCCTTGGAGACGGGACCCAGCCCAGTGTTTTCCTGGCCTGGGGTCAGCACCATGCAGATCTGCGGCTGACATTCCAGATCCAAGGTTCCCGATGCCAAGAGCTCATGAGTGCAGGATTCCAGGCCAGGCTCGCGGCCAAGTGGCTGCGTTCACCACTCCTGCAGCCACMCGGGCTATGATCCTGTCTGAGACTTCCCTCTTTGCAGCCCAGCCCACCAGGAAGAGAGAGGCCCTATTCTCTGCAGAGGGCTCCGTGCCTTCTCCAGCAGTGGSCCTCAGGGGCAGTCTGCCTTGGTCCTTGTGCTGGTGGCTGGGCTGTGTGGACAAGAAGCCGTCCACAGTCAGTGGAGGCCGGGAAACTCTGGCCTCAGCCACTCTCACTCACGAGGGAGGGAGGGATGGGAATGCCCAGCTCAGCACCCTGGTGAGGGTGCTCTGATGCCTTCAGAGAGAGGTCTGTCCATGCCTCTGGGGAGGCCTGAGCCCAGCCACTTGGACTGGAGATGGGGGTCTGACTCTGGCCATGCCATTCTCCAATCTTGTTCTAATCCTAGTAAAGTTCATATAGCTTGGAATCCCCCATCAATTCCTCATTTGGCTCAGAGTATAGGTAGAAAAGTCAGGGATATAATTTATAGTCCCCTGAAATCCACTCTGGTCACCTACGTCTGTCTGGTTGGTAGTGAAACAGTTCACACTCAGCATACTGTGGATAGCCACATCTACAACTGTGTAACTGTCCCCAGTCTGGGGGTACACGTGTGCTCACTTCCCAGAACACTGGGGGCTCAAAGGCCATTTTTGCTTAAGGACCCCAGCAAGCTGTTCTGAGAAGAGCTGCCGAGGACCGGTTCCTCAGCACGGCCCCATTCCTGTAAGGAAAGGTCTGCCGGGAATCCCGAGGAACAGCCTCAGTCGTGTGCAGCTCACTGTGACTGGGGAGAAGAGCTTGGGTCCTCGGCCACCAAAGGCCCCAGGCATGTGGTGATGTTGCTCCATGAAGAACACACTTCCAGAGTGCAGCTACAGGGACAGGCAGCCTCTCCAGAGGTGGGGCAGGGCTTAGTGCTCATTCTGGAAGGCTCTGGGCCTTCCCGACACRGGAAGGTGCACAGCAGGTGTCTGGGCTGGAGTGGGGCTGTCTTGGACATCCCTAAGGCTCCCTAGTCCTGAGTGCCCTGCTGTGACAGGAAACAGCCATTGCAGTAGGACCCCACAGGCAGGGGCTCCCAGGCTGCCACTGGGACCAACCTGACTCCTGCCTTCTGTCCTCCTCGCTCACTCCGTGCTCAGAGCTCTGCAGCCCTTGCCTCTCCCCACCCTCTGTGGCGAGTGCACTGGACAGAGTGGGGAGCTGGGTCGCAACGGGGAGCTGTGGGGCACACCCGCCCAGAGCCTCTGAGCTTTGCACCTGGAACCCTCTGCCCGAGGCCCTCGGAGCAGGCCATCCTGTTGTCATCCCACTTGCCAAGTGTGCCCCTCAGGGCCCATGACATAGGTCCCAGACCCATCTTGGACACTGTGCTTAACGAGGTCCCTGGAAGCAGGTCCACCTGCCGCTGTCTGGTTGGGCACAAACTAACTGGGAAGTCACGAGCCACTTGTAGATTCCAGCAGGAACGAACTTYATTCCCCAACCCACGCGAACTCTAYGGGAACTCAACGGAAACTCCGTGAGAACTCGAAAGCAGCGGGCACCCGAGGCAGCAGGAGCCGCCCCTTCTGGCAAAATGCCAGGCACCATCCTGACCTGGCCGTGGCTCCTGCAGACCAGGTGAAGAGCTCTCCGAGCACACCCAAGCCAGGTATGAAACCCAGGCCACACAAAATCTCTCACCCGAGTTCACACGGCTGCCAAGAGACACAATGTGGCTGAAGCCACGCAGACCTGCCCTGAGGGCTCCACGCATGCAYTGCCTCTTCTCCGAGTGGTGGTGGGACCTCGTGGGCGGGTGGCCTGGGCTGGCAGGTGATGGGGCCTGGCTTCCCCCACCTCATAGAACTTGGCCTGGTTTGACTACAGATTGTGGGTTCACATGTGGCATGCAGCAGCCGACCCCAACCTTCCTGGAAGGAGCAGCAGCAAACACTGAGAACAGAGACTTACTCGGACAGCTCTCACCAAACATAGCAGTCACTTTAGAAATCAGTTCGAGGACAGTGTTAGATAATACCCAGTTCTTAGTCTTGACTGAAAAAGAGGTAGGTGTGTGACTCCATCCAGTTTATAAACATTCAGGCACAATTCCAAGCTCTTACCTAACAGCAGACTTCACAACTGAGCTTTGATTTTTTCTCTCCCTCTTGATGAGCTATGAGATTATGGAATCGAGTAAGATGAGCCACCCCCTCCCTCTTCAGTGTATCAATACAGACACTGGGACGGATGGCACAGAGCAATTATGTGACAGCTAGGGCCAGTCTCTGTCTCCAGCATGCACGGATAGGGAGCAGGTGACCTACCAAACGTTACCACTTGAAACAGGGACACTGCTTCTCATCAGTTTTGGTGGCAGGTTTCCGACTATTACAACAATGAAACCCACTAAAATTTATTGGGACCCTGAGGGCATTTTCAAAGGATCTGCACCCTCTCCGCTCTCTTCTTTAAAGCCTGTGCTGCATAAAATGTAATTTTTATCAATAAGCAAGAAGCTCATAATATCACAGCTGCATTGAAATCTTCATGCTGTGAAATCTAATTCATCCAATACACGAATCCATCACTTACGCAGACCCTTTCTCAAATGCTATAAAACTTCCAAACCCATAGATTTGTCTCCAACAAAAATAACATGAAGGGGCCTTTCAATCAATAATGGAATCCCTCTGATTCTGGAACTGGCTGAGTATTTCTTCCAACTTCGCCTTTGTTCTTCTGGGCAGAGCCCACAAGGGAAAAAGCTTGTTTTCACTCGCAGCCTCATCAATACCTAAATCCTGGTGAACAAGTGACACGGAGAAGCTGTAATCAATAGCTCCCTGTGCGTTTTTTTCTTCTGGTCAAATGGTTCAGCTCCACTGACAACCCTGACACTTAGAACATGATGCTAAATCTTTATCAACAGCCATCTGGGTGGCTGGCAGAACAGGACTCGGGGGTCATCAACGCTCATGGCGATCTGCGAGCAAACTCTCTCCTCAGGAATGCGTTTGTTTAAAAAAGGTGGGAAACTCTCGAGCATGTATCGATTGCCTCCGAACTGCATTTAGCAAATTCGGTCTGAGGATGGAACRGAAGGGGGCGTCCTAGCGGGAAGGCGGATTCTTCAATTCTCGTCATAGGCAACTGACCATCCTCTGGTGCAGGGTGGGGTGCAACCTTCCTCGAAGGTGGCAGGTCCTGCCTGGAAAACTTGGGACAACTCAAGCTCTAAAATGGAGGTGACTCCCACACCACAAAACCCATCCCCTACTCTGGATGGGGGTGGTGGGGAGGCAAACCCATGCCAAAGACCAGTGCAGTGACACGCACTGGTCCTGTTTTCGGAGAGCCAATGAAGGAATGGTTGCCGGAAGAGCTTCCCGGTGTAACACTCCGGATCCCCTTTCTATTCTCCAGCGCACAACTGTTGCGCTGAGCCTGATGTTGTGCTGGGTCTCCCATGAGCCTGTCTTGACTTGGTGGGCGGTGATATACACAGTGCCATGTCAGCTTAGCTAGCAGACACCCACTGAGGACAGGCCACCAGGCCTGGCTGTCTCTAATAGGGGCATTTTCTCCCTTAAACCTTGGGCTTCCTTCCGACCCTCCCATTCCAATTAAGGAGGCTTCCAGTGCAGCAAGGAGGGAACCTAGCTCCCTGAGCTGCTACACCTGGCACAGCTGCAGGTTATCTTCTCCAGCATCTTGGGCACAGCTGCAGGTTATCTTCTCCAGCATCTTGGGCACACCTGCGTACAAACTGAGGCTTCTCAGGTATGGTACCTGCTGGCACTGGCAGAAGCCTGTAGAGGGCCATGGAAGAGCTCCCCAACATTGAGGCCACCCCTAACATAGGAGGGTCAAGGATTCAGAGAGTGGGAGACAGGTGCCCAGAAAACCTTCCCTCTGATTCACTGACACCCCCTTTCCTGGTTCAGCACATGATGGGGACATCCATRTGTGCTCTTTGTGGGCATTAAGAGTTTAAAGCCCGGTGAGACCCTATTTTATAAATTTCAGTGACTGAGGCTGTATCTGAACAGAGACGTTCATAGAGATTAATAGCAGGGGAAAGCCATGCTGGTTTGCAGAACAATAAATGTTTCTGAATATTGCCAGGAGCAGGTCACTAAGCAGTCAYAGAATCTCCATCACAGAGTGTGAGGAGGGACTGCTGGCACCACAAAAGGCAGGTGGCAGGTGTGGACAACCTGTGAATGTCAGTCATGGGAGCATGCCTTGGCCATAGATGAAGCCAGCTGTGCACACCAAGGGAGCAAGGAGCACTGACGAGTGCTATGGGACGGCCTCCACCTTCAGGTGTGCAGAAGGAACTGTACAAATGCCCATTTTYACTGCCCCCCCCCATATTAAATCACCTGGTTGGTTCTGCTTCCTGCTGCAGGGGAGGCCAGGGGAACGCACAGCCACCTTCTCTCTGGCCTGGTGGAGGAGTCACGCCTCCGTGGGGGAGAAGTCAGGGACCCACTGCACCCAAGGGGCATGCAGAGGAGAGGCACTGCCTTCAGGGGACATGCAGCAACGCAGGAGGAGGCGTCAAGAGTGTGAGCATCCCGCGCTCTCAAGGAGTGTTAATGGAGCCACAGAGCAGCAGCATCCGAGCTGCCTCTCCTACCGCAGAGCTCAAGGCTTCAAGATTGAACCATGACCTGGAAGAGGGAGGTGGCTTTCCAAAGCCAGGACGGAGAGTGGGMTTTGTTGAGATGTCAGAAACCATCTTCAGACATCTGATTCGGAAGCATTCCACAGGYACTGTAATGCGCACCTCCGTGCAGGGCCAGTGGTATGGCCAGTACCCACAGCACACGCACCTCAAGTACAGGACAGAACACTGAGCACCACCCACCGTCACCACTGAGCCCAGACAGCAGCGGAGCAGCGGGAGGTGGTGTGGTTCCTGCGCATCTCACACCACACAATTTGGGGTATTTCAATATGGCAGAAAATGTCCCCCGATGAGGGTATACACGGAGACCACGTGCTCCACCACAAACCCACAGGAGCTGCCTCTTCAAGAATAACAATGCATCTTGTGCAAAAGGGCTATGTAATTGCCATCTCCTAGAGACCAGAGGGCTCTGCCCTGGGGCTGCTGCAGCTTGTGGCAGGAACGGCCACTGTGGTGTGAAAACGCCTGCTTCTCCCCTGTGAGCAGGGATGGAAACAGGTTTGAAAACACTGCAAAGGCACAGCCATGTTTTAAACAGTGAGCTCTATGGGATTGCGTAAGTTCCCATCCCATGATGCGATGACCACAGTGCTCTTCCTAGGAAGGTGGCCTTCTTCTGTCATGTTGGAGACCCCTGCCKTTCAGGGAGAGGCAGACCTCTGGAAGGGGCTAACAGGTGGGGACATTCCAGGGGCTCTGGAGTGGGGTKGCTCTTCCTGCAGGCTATGTGGACAGGGGACCCTTAATGTCCACCACTGGGTTCCAGTCCTTCCAGCCCTGGCCCTCTTCACCTACTGCATGGAACCAATCTTGCCCACTGGGAGGGGTGGAGGCCCGATGGAGAGTGGGGGGGGGGGCTCAGCACTGAGCACCCCCACCAGTGGCCCACTGGTCCTATGAGATCAGGACCGGAGACTTCTCTTGGTCTGAGAACCTGGTGCTTGGCAAAACCTGGCTAAGACTCATAGTGGTGACCACAGGGAGGGGCAGTCCCGTGAGCCGCTGCCTGTGTACCGTCAGTCTTTGGTGAGATAGGGTCTCATGCCCCGGAGGCCTAGGGACCCAGGGTGTACCCCGGGGGAGGTGGGGCCACTCTAACGCCCAGGCATCCTCCTAGAGGGTGAGGGCCACATGCATGGCTTCTGTGTTCTGTCTGCTGCTGTTCTGCACCTGGAGTGTTGGCCACACAACAGCACCACACACCCCGCGGTGCAGTGAAGAAATGAACAGGACCTTCCATCACCACCCATCAGGTTCTGCCCTCTTTCGTGTTTGCTGGGATGACAAGGGACTCAGGCGCAAGGACCTGCCCCAGGMGCCTCTGTCCTCCACCCAGGTGTACCTCATCCCTGCACATGTGCGTGGGCCCACCTGCCGGCACTTACAGGATTGCTTCTCATGGCTCCTCCCACGGCGCGGGCTGCTCTGGGGTTGCCTGCCAGGGCTGCTAATTGCTGGTAAGAAACCGTTTCTCCGAATTTCACAACCTTCAGCAGCTTCCACAACACCTGTCTGGTGAAAGAGTCTGAAAGGAAGAATACAGATGACGTTATTTGTACAAATGGTGCCAGCAGCTCTGATATAAATAGCTGCAGTCCGGGGTCAGAAAATGCAAGGACACAAACAGAGGTGTTATAGTCAATTAAAAGCTGGCCTCCGCACTGCGCACGTCATCCTGGCCAGGCTGGCACAAAGCAGGGCGCGGCCCCTCTGAGCTCATGCAGGATAGTGCGCCACGCTCCTCCCGCAGGTGGCACGTGTGCATCGGGGGTGGTTCAACCAGGGATCGCCAGTGTCCCTGCCAACCCACCTACTGCAGACCTTTTGGATGGCTGGTTAATTTCCAACTCTAGCTGGGACACAGAGGAAAGAGCAGCCAGGGACGGGCTCTGTGTGACATCACGCAAGCCGTCCTTCCAGCAGTCAGCCGGCTGGAGTCACTGCTCCCAACGCCAAGCGCCATGGCAGCAGGTTGGGTGGCGACCTTGGCAAATAGGGCTGCAAAATTAAAACCACTATCCCCCTTTTAATTGACTCCTCGCACGACATCAGAAGCATGGGTGATGACCTGCTGCTGGAAGGACCAGCAGAACCCTCGACCACCTCTGGCCCTCCACCTCTGGGCTTCAGAACTGTTTCCAGGGCGGGAGCGCCTAGGGCAGAAACCTGGCAGAGGAGCCCATTCTGAGTCATTATGTAGGGCCTTTCCAGAAGGGACCGGACGCGGCTCAGGAGCACTGCAGATAGAGCTACGTCCTCCATCCCAGGGCTTGCAGGGCTCGGGGGCAGGCGCGTGTGAACCGCGACGCCCAAGGGGAGGCCTCCTCGGGCAGGAGCACTCGAGAGTGCCTCCACAGAGCCCCAGGACTCCCGTGCCAGGCTGGCAAAGTGCGATGTGGTTCTTAAAGGAAACACACCCTTACATGCATGTTAAATAATAAAAATCACTTCTTAACTGAAGGGAACGATAATCACTTCACTGGAAAAAAAAATCTGTTTAGTCTTTATTATAACATTAAGCAAATTAAACATCAGCATAATCCAGGTGATGCTAGAAAAGGGTCATCAAAGAAATTAACTTTGTTGTTCATTAATTTACATGGATTAGTAGAGGGCACAAAGATAGCAAATGTGCTCTAGTTTTTTATGATATAATTTCAAACTGTACACCATTTGTGGCAGGAGGGTGACTTTGGGGTTAATCAGACTGATTTGTCCTTTTAATTGCTTTCTATTCAAAGAAAATTCATTAGATAATGTTCTCTTCAAAATTCATGAATCAATTTAACTGAAGAAACCGCATTAGCAGCTCCGGGTTCATTAGCACGGGTTGTGGGAGTGCCGAGCGCTGGGAGGCTTCCCTGGGCAAACAGACTGTTTACCGTGGCCCCTTCAGAAGGGGTCTGAAGTCACACTGCTAATGGTGATTGTTACTGTTGTCGTTACGCTTAACTTAAAGAAAAGGGAACAGGAGAAGAGGCAAGGTGGGGAGGGGCCGAGGCAGCCCGGTGCCACTTGGGGAAAGGGATCTCCCTCCTGGCAAAGCAGCAGCACCCGCAACCCTGGACACAGCAAAACTTAGGGACCACGCCCCGCCCTCCTTGGAAGGCGCAGGGTCGGTGGACTGTCTTCTGTGCTCTGACCTGGGCAAGGGCGTGGCAGAGGTTTCTGGGAGAACAGACTGGAGGTCTTCCCTAAACCTGTCCAAATAAAGCGTGAGGTAGGGAACCCAACCGGAGCAGAGCCGTGCCAAGAAAGAGAGGGGCCGCCCATTGAGCTCTCCTCTGACACAGGATGCCAGCTTCCATAGCACCTTTCTAGGTGGAAAAGCATCACGTAAGGAAACCATGGTACATCCACATAGGAGCAGATGTCTCCAACATGCTCAGCTCATTGTTGGCTCATCATGGGAATAACCATCTGTGAACAGGTACACACAGTGTGACTTATTAGGCAGCATAGCTCAAAGGATGCAATACATCACAACTGAGCATATCTTATCACAAATGTATCTTAAAATTCTGTTTCACCCTGAAGGGAGCAAGGGTGCTAATTAGTTTGTGCACCTCTCAAAGGCAAAGCCTCTAGCCCCTGCCTAGGCACAGTCAGACGCTGTACTGCACCAGCATACAAGCAGGGGCCAGTGCTTCCTGGCACATCATCCTACAGTGTAGGAAAATATGCTCATAAAAATCAGCACACATCAGTGTGGAAAACAGAATTTGGTCTTGAAGGACTTCATGTCCTCAGAGGCCCAGTCATTTTGGGTGGCTCAAAGGACAACCACTGAAATACCATCCTTCTCCAGTATGGCTCTCCGGGGAGTGGGCCCCAGTGCAGGGAGAGGCGGTCTCTGCATGCCACCTTCTGGTGTTCCCTTCCTTTGCTCCCCACCTCCTTCTCCAGCCTGTTCCAGGCTCCAGGATCCAGGCCGTGTTGATGTGGCTGGGTCTAGGCGGCCTCTGCTGCAGGCCGAGTTGGGTCTCAGAGCTCCCTCCCCTCCCATTTGGCTTGGGTGGCTATTTAGACACACACTCTAACAAAATCCACCTGGACTGTGCCTCACCAGCTGGGAGGCTGGAGGCCGTTCTTTAACCCCAGGCTTAGGGGAACAGTGCATGGTGGCTGGTTTTCCACATGTCCGGGAGTTCAAGGTGGCCTGCGGGTGGGCCGCCAGCCAGAGTGGCTCTGAGAGGGCCGATGGCACGATGTGCCAGGCAGGCAGGGGGAGGAAGCAGTCAGGGATCAGCCTAGCCTGGCTCTGCTCTGCTGATCTCAGGTGAGTCCTTTCTTTGTCCTGGGCATTTGTCCTCCCCTGTGGTGGCATCATGGCAAGAGCCACCTCATCAAACAGGTGCCGCAGAGGGGCCCTCTGTCAGCTGCCCTGTCCCTGATGCTCTTCCCTGGCCAGGCTGCAGTGAAGGAGACAGCTAAGGGGCACACGCCACGTGCCAATGCAGGCCCTGCTCAGGAATCATCCCAGTAGCTGGGCTGTGTCCACGCACTTGGCTGGCCACAGAGACCAGCACCCAGTTGCTGCAGAATTCCCCACACAGCCTCAGCCAGCTGGGATCAGGACTCCTTTGGAGCAGCCACGAGTCCTGGCTATTCGGCCTGATGACACCTGGCCATCAAGAGCAGCCAGAATAAGCCTCTGGAAATGAAGTGGAGCAGAGCGATGGAGGCTCTGGTCCAGGTGAGATGAGGCGGCACACTGCTCCCATCCCTTCCCCGGAGCCCCTTCCTGGAACCTGAGCACAGAGATCAGCAGAGTCTAGAGAAGGGGACCTGCTCCACGCTGTCACCTCTGAACAACTGTGCCTCAGCCCTCCCCAGCAATCCTATGGTGGTGTAGTGGAATCTGGTGCCCAAGAGCCTAAACCCCTGAGAAGGAGACGTCCTTTCTGATGGCAAAGTGTGGCCCTGGGAGGTGGCAAAACCCTTTGCTTTTTCCTCTCTGCTGTTCCACCCTGATCTGGGCTCAGTCACTGGAAGTATGTAGCAGAGCTGGGTTCATTAAGCCACACTTTTGTGTCAGGGGACGGAAAAGGAAGCCCTGAGAACTGGAAGCTATGAGGGAGATTGGAAGGAGGAGGAGTCTTTCAACCAAAAGGTTGTTTATACTTTCCTGTGTCCAGGTGAGCTGTTCACATGCTGAGCTGTGCACAGGTGGTTCTGACCGTAAACCAAACTCTGAGAACTGGTATAGGGTTAGGCACTACCAAGTTCAAACTGGGCGTTGAATGGTACACAAGTGGACAGATTGGAAAGGGACCATAAATGAGATGGACACGGAAATCACAACCCACAGAAGGCCAGGTGGGACCTATGGACTAACTCTAACCAGGCTGATTATCTCCTAAAATCCAAGTACCCACATTACTTACAGGATTTATGTAAGATCCAGAGTCTTATTCGAGATGATCAGGTTTTAATACAAAATTCCTAAGTGTGCAAACAATTTGAAAAATCCCAACTTGCTGGGGAAAAGATAAATTGTCACGTGCCAAGGCTGAGCTGACACAGAAGTTGAAATCGTTGACACAGAAGTTGAAATCATTGACAAACACATTAAAGGATGTGTTATAGAAATGCTGCAAGAAGAGAAAACACTCTTGAAACAAATGAAGACCCAAAGCCTCAGCAAAGAAACAGAAGCAAAGGACCATGAAGTAGAAAGTTTAGTGCTGAAAAATAAATAATCCACATTATAAACCACTCTTCATGGGATCAGTCCTCACAAAACACATGAGGACTCCACAAAGAAAAGAGAACAGATAAATGGCTGCAGCCAAGCCCAGAGAAACCACCCAAGCTGGAGAGAGAGAACATGTACTTAAAAGACCAAGAAGGATATGTGGGACAAAGCTAAAAGACCTAGTGTCCATGTGACTGGATTTCCAGCAGAAGAAGATAGAGTGTGGGGTAGGAAAAAAGCAAGCAAGCTGGATGTCCCCAGTCTGGCAGAAGACATCAACGACAGATTCAAGAAGCACTGCAAACCGCCAGCAGGGCAAGAAGTCCACTTCCAGACACATGATGATCAAAGGCGGAAAGCTGAGGACCCAGAGGGAGCTCTTCAAGGCCACGGGGGAAGGAGCTCACCCCAGGTGGGGGCAGCCATCCTCGTGGCAGTCAGAACTCCATCTGGAGGCGGCAGACGGCACTTCCCGTGTCTTGAGAGACAAGAACCGGCAACTCAGAATTCTAYCTGCAACTCGAGAGATCCTCGAGGAAGGCAGCTGACACGGAGACACTCAGATACAACAGAAAAGCAGAGGTGATTTGCTGTCAGTAGCCCTGATCTTCAGAAGGGCTAAAAGCAGTGCTTTAGAAAGAAAAGAAATGGCGCCAGAGGGCAGCCTGGAACTTCAAACAGGCAGAATGAAGAGCCGCGCGGGTAGAGAGCACGCAGCCACCATGCTTTTCAAGTTCTTCAAAACATGCAGCGCAAGTAAAATGGTCCCAGCCAGGGCTCGAGCGCACAGGAGGCCCTGCAGACGGTGCTGTCACAGTGGGCGAGGC